GCCACTGGTGGTTGGGTAGCCGCATGCCACGTAGCAGTTTGCGCATGCTGTTCTGCAGAGTCTTGTTCATTCTTTCTACGACACCTTGTTGCTGATGGGCGTAGGGAAGGGAGAGGAGTTGCTTGATTCCTCTTTCCGCCAGGTACTGTTTGAAGCGCTGAGAGGTGTATTCTCCTCCTCCGTCTGACTGGAAGCTTTTCAGCTGTGCTCCCGACTCTCGTTCTGCTACTGGTAGCCAGGCGGCGAACGCTGCGAGTGCCATGTCGCGGCTTGGTAGGTTTAGATGCCAGACATATCGAGTGGCGGCGTCGATGAAGGTAATCTTATAGTTGTAGGTGACTTGTCCTGGTTCGCGATTGTAGAGGATGTCGCTGTACATCTTCTCGAGTGGTGCGTATGTAGGTGCGCTTGGGTTGTGGTGAGAAGAAAACGGTCGATGGGGTAAGTCGGCTTCGGGGCAGATAAGGCAAGTTCCTCGTGCACGTTGAAGTTCTCTGCCGTCGGGTAGTAGTAGCGAGTCCTTGTCTAGAACTCCTGCTCGAATTGTGTTATTTAACACTGTGTTGCTTGGTATCCTGTGCGTGCGTGCCATATGTCTTCAGGAGCGCGGTGTCCGGGTGAGCGTTGATACGCGTCGGAGTTGGAGTAGAAGCTGGCGACGAAGTGTGCGCTTCTGTGGACTTCTCGTTGAGTTGGTTTCAACTGCTGTGCGGGTGTTGGTGGTTCTTCGTCGACGAGGACTGGTGTCGTTGTTCCTGCTGTTGCTGCCGATGTTGTCTCTACTGCTGCCGATGATGTCTCTACTGCTGTCGTTGTTTTTCTGCTGCTGCCGATGATGTCTATGCTGCTGTTGTTGTTGTTTCTGCTGCTGCCGATGATGTCTCTTTTGCTGTCGAGTGTTGTATTGTTCCTAATGCGCGTGTTCGTTCTGCTTCAGGTATGGTGTGCGAGTACCAGAAGCCTCCCGGGCTGAAGTCTGGATCAAGGTCTGGAGGGTGCGTCCAGTCCGTGAAGTTAACAATAGCGTCGCTGTCTGCGGTGCCCAGGTCCGGGACGAAGTCCAGGACGAAGAAGTTGTTCTTCAGAACTGCCTTCCCGATGTAAAGGCCGCCTTTCCCGTGATATAATTTAACTTCCTGGGTGGTGCTGTCGGCTTCCAGGTGGATGCCCTTCGCCATCAACTGGCTGACACTCAGTAAGTTATAGCCGAGTCCCTCTGCGATGAGTACCTTTGACATGTGTAATATGACATTTGTCTCTCGTGACTGAAGCTGTACCACTCCTTGTCGTCGTGTGCGCAGGTTCTGATCGTTGGCGACCGTGATGACTACTTCTCGCTGGAGTCGATGCTCGCGTTGAACGAAGCGCCCGGAGGAGCACATATGTTGTCCGCAGCAACTGTCCAAGAACCAACTGTCTTGGCCGGACGGTTCGCTTTGAGCAATGGCGGCGTATGTCGGATTCGGTTGGAGTGACTCGCGGCGAGGCGTCCTGTTATCGAGCTCTTCTTCCGGTGAGTAGTGGGGTGGTGATTCTGTTGTGCAGGAATCGGTTATCTTTACCATGCAATTGACAATATTTCTTGCTCCTTGTGCAGGTTGTCCAGTTGAAGTCGTTGAAGTTTGGATTGTGGTCGTCGGATTTGCTTGCGTTGAGGCAACTTGGGAACTTGAAGGTCGGAGTTGTCGCTGTGGTGTCGTCGACTGCTGACGGGACGGGCAGTGTGTGCGAGGATGACCCGAGGTCTTGCAGATGTGACAAAACGGAGGTACCATCTTCACTTGTTGCTGTTGTCGATTGTTGTTGCCGTTGTATCGTCGTTGAGTGTGAAATGCAAACTCCGGTGCTAATATTTTCTTCTTGTGTCTTTCTTCTTGCAGGTCCATGTCCTGCTGCTCGGCGTGGATTTCGGCGCAGAGTGCCGCTTCGGAGATCCTCCCGTGTGCTCGTAATATGGCGCGAGTGGAGCGCCAGTGGGGGCAGAGACCGCCGATGACCACCGTGACAAAGGCGTCTTCTGAAATTGACCCTCCGCATCGAAGAAGCTTGTCGCGCAGTTTGCGGCAGCGGCCGATATAAGCCATGCCTTTCTCGCCTGGTTTCATTTCAATCGTTGTCAGCTGCGCCATTAACCTGCTTTGATTTACGCTGTCTGTTGCTTGATACAGGTTCTTCAAGTGGTTGTACGCGAGCTCCGCGGAGTTGCCGTAGCCTCGGTAGGTTCTGATGTTCTGCTGCTGGGTCGGGGTGATGTTTCTTAGCAGTATCGTGTACGCCATCATTGATTGATAGGTGTACTGCTGCTTCTCATATTGTGTCCCGTTTGTTGGATATGGCAGGGACCCGTCGAAGAAGCCGAGAATCTGTGCTCCTTCCATCATCAATTCGAACTCGAACGACCAGGTGAAGAAGTCTTTGCCGTCGAAAGGCTTTGTCGTTTGCAGCTTTAGGACGTGCGCGAATTGCGACTGGACTTGCAATGCGTCCAATGCCCTTTCTTGTCCTGGTGCAGATTGCGGTTGCGGCATGAAGCTGACGGAGCCACGCTGGGGTTCGTACGGCGCAAAGGTAGGCTGCTGTTGTTGTTGTTGAATCCCGTGCGCGTAGGATAAGCCATCGAGACTCATAGGCGTCACGTTGTTGTTGTTGCTGTTGTTTGATTGCGCAGGTACTCCTTGCTGGTGCTGCTCGTAGAAGGACATGAAGGAGAAGAATTTCTCCATCATACTTGGATCGAAGCCCGCGCCTTGGTTTGCGGGTGTTTCCGTAGACCCAGCTGCTGGTCTCGTCGTTGTCCCTTCCTCTGTCAGTAGGCCAGAGGCAGGTGGTGGAGTAGGGGTAGTACCGGGAGAGCCGTTGGAGGAGCTCCTCTCCTTTCTAGCAGAAATGTCTTCTTTGATGTACTGAGTGTTGAATAATGAATTTTAACTCTAACTGCTCTGATACCATGTTGGGCTGAGGAGCCCTAGGATCTTTGTAGAGTTAAAGTTTGAGTAGGATGATGTAATAGCGGAAGCGTTGAATAATAAAGTCTTGAACCACCTTGCGCTCGTATGTGAGGGCAAAGTAAGTTGATTAAAACAAGCAAATACAAAGCTTTACATAAGAGTACAAGGAATGCGAATAGATGTAATTAGATGTAATTAAACTACCTTGCTGTTGCGATTCGATACAGTGCGACTCGGGCAACTGCTCAATGTCCAGTCAGTTGTGTGTCCTTGCTGTCGCGCTGTATTGGTCAAGTCAAATGTCGCTGACCTTTGACCTTCGCGTAACCTCCAGGCGGTTACCCTAACCTCCGAGGGTTGACTCGCGATGCTTCGATTTGGACTTCTTCGCTTTGTGTCCTGAGTTTCGACACGACAGAGGCGCTTAACTTATTTGTTCCCAACAGCAAGAACGCGTACAGTACTACGAAACTAGGTTGCGAAATGGGGACGGGGACTTGAAACGCACCAATTGAGGGGGTGAAAGGCGGTAAGCACGGAGGGGATGGCCACCAGGGCTAATTTTATCAGGGTAAATCACCCTGATACCCTGATAATAAGGGTGGTTTTTGGCTGTCACACTGATGCCTTAGGGTAATTTTTTCGGGAGCTTGTATTTTCCTGATAGGCCAGGGTTTACGTTTGAGGTACACTGACGGCCCAGGGTTACCGATCTTTGTAACGAGTTTTACCCTGAATCGAGTACATACCCTCCCCGAGCCGCCCCACCCCCCACCCCCTCTCTACCCACCCCCCCTTTCCCGTATCGAGGTTCTCGCATGCCGACTGTAGAAACTGAAATTTGGCAAAGGCAACATCTCTGAGCTGGCACGAGGGGGGCCTCCATTGGCCAGAAATACATTTTCGTTATTGCCTGCCAACGATAATATCAATACACTAGGGTTTGCAAAACTGGTACACTGATCCTACAGGGTATAATTTTCAAAAACTAGGAAAACCCTGGTGGATCAGGGTTTGAACAAGGTGTCACACTGATAATCAGGTTTTTGGACTTGTGCAACACTGATCACAAGGGTTGCTGGAAACCAAAAATTAGCCCTGATGGCCACGTGCTTGCAGAGGGTTGCAATTTGGGTTGCAAGCGGTAAAATCGAGCTGCAATGACTTGGGCTATACCCATCAATGTTTTCATTAGGTGCTAGTACTATTTATCTCAATCTAGCTCATACAATAAATGGTAAATGAAATTCCACACCATCGCCTCTCCCACAGTCCCATAATACTCTCCCTCAACCTCCGTAGTCTTCTTGCCTTCCTCGGCTTCGGCAAAGCAACTGTAGTGCACATCCGTATTCTTACAAGTGTCATCAGGCCTAGGGGCAGCAATTAGCCAGTCGTTGAGAAGAGACAGTCCGTAACGTCCTAAATGCCCGGCTATAACTTCGTTCAAGTGTGAAATGAGGGTGTTTGTTCCCTTATCACAGAACTCGTTAAGCCGTTTTGGGGGGATGGTTCGGTACAGAAACCAAGGGCCTTTGTCGGGCAGCCTCTGAGTTTCAACCTGCCCCTGGAGCTGCTGCTGTTGCTGCTGTTGCTGCTGCTGCTGCTGCTGCTGCTGCTGCTGCTGCTGCTGCTGCTGCTGCTGCTGTTGCTGCTGCTGCTGCTGCTGCTGCTGCTGCCGTTGATGCTCCAACTGAATCAATTCTATTCTGGAGTAAAACCACTGCAGGAAGTTAGGAAGATAGTACCCAAAGGCGTTCTCAGGCTCATCACAGAAAAAGGTTGTCCAGTAACCCCCATCTAAGAGAGTCACATGGGCTGTTGTGGAGATGTTTGGGAACTGGAGCATTTGAAATGACGTGATGTTCTCATTCCTGCATGGTGACAATAACGAGGGGAAAATAACAGGAAATGGTGGGAAGAGAAGGCAGATGGAGTGTGTTTAGAGCGAGATACTCTCCTTTATCCGGCCTTAAACAAGAAATTGTCTCAATCACGAAAGGATAAACACAACGGATTAGAAAGAAGCAGACATAAACAACCACGGTTTACCTGCAGCCAAAAGACCCGTTGACAAACATCCCTCCGATCCAATAAAAGTTGAGCTTCAGAGGCTGCAGCTCCGGGCTAGGGGGCGGCACGACCAACTGAATGTCCCAATGGTACTGAAAAGTGGAAGCATTGGCCTTGCCAGTGAGGAGAAAGTAGAGGTGGTGGAAGAGGAATCGCACGTGAGAGTCCCCCACAAAGTTGATTTCGGAAATGCCCCGGGATTGGAGGGCGGAGACCCATTGGGAAGTGGGAGGGAGGGGGTGTGCGCAGGGGTAGAGCTGCCACGTGTAGTTTTGCGTCTGTTCATTGAGCAGCCAGCGGCCGTTGATGGAATGGACGCAGGGCGAATCTGGGCCGTCCATTGCATTCTGTGGAAATGTGCTGCTGACTTGGGACACAGCAGAAGTAGCGGTAGCTGATTCAGTGGCTGGTTCGGTAGCTGGTTGGGTGTGTGGAAGGACAGTGAGGTTCCACTGTGCCATGACATGTGATCCCGTGGTGCTGACTCGCTCCAAGTAATTGGGAGCAAAATTCAACGTGTCGCACTCTGATTGGACCAGGACGCTGGTTAGGTGGGGATTCAGGAGAAGAATTTGCAAACGGAAACAAGGAAAGAGGTTCAAATAAGAAACTGTGATGTGCGTCTGAAGGGTTAAATTCAAGTGGAGAGAGGTTCGGGAGGGAACACATTCAGCTCCCCCTGATTCCCTCCTGGCCCACGATTCTCTTTATCCCGGCCTTCCCCTTTCCTCTCCTTCGCCTTCCTCCTCCACCCCCTTCCCACCCCCACCCTCTTCCCACCTCCTCAAGCCTCACCTGTAGTTACCAGCGTCCCACCTTCTTCTCCGTCCCTTCTATTTCCGCTTCTCTCCATACCCCTTCCCATGTCTCCCCGCAACCCTCACCTGTAGTTACCAGCGTCCCACACGCGGTACGTGACTCGCCATCGCGTGACGTCACCCTCCTCTGTAGTCACATCCGCTACAGCCAACGCAGGTCCCATCAGCCTCACCACCAGCGACTCTTGCAGCCCACCCACGCCCATCCGCCTGTCCCCGACCCTAAACCTCTCGCTACTGCCACTACCCGTAGCGCTACCACTGCTGCTGTCGCTACGACTGCTGCTGTCGCCACTACTGCTGGAGCCGCTACCACTGTAGCTGGCGGCGAAACCCCTTGGTCGCGCGACCCATTTCGCGGGCGATCGGACGGCAATCTCGAAGGCGCATAGCTCGCCCACCGTGCAGCGGGAGCAACCCCCGCCGAAAATCAAAACGCCCTCCTTTCTCTTCCTCCAGATTCGTTCCTCCTCGATTGCCTTGTCATGAGCGCCCTGCGTCGTTGAGTCGTTCTGATGCGGTCCGCCGCTAATCGACTCGATCGTGTCGTTGTTGGTTCCCGACGAGTCGCTACCATACCCGCCATGGTCCCCAGACCACCAGCAAATTGGATCGGATTCTACCAAATGATTTTCTGGAACCTGGCATTTCTCCCGACTCGCAGCCACGTCAGCATATGATTTACCCTGTTCGTTCGCAGAAAAATGGCCGGGCCGAACGTGGATGCCTGGTGCGTCAGCATATATCGTGTATGAGTTCACGAGTACGGTGAAGAGTAGCAACGGAACTACCACTAACGCGAATAACGCTAGCAAAGTCACAAACGATAGCCAAGACGCCTTCGAGTCATGAGCTTCAACAACTTCCATGAAGAACTTTCGGAATAAAATAAATACCAATATATTAAATTTTGCCCGGCACAGAGGCAAACGGCAAATAGCAGCAAGTCATATCGGCATGACTAATCAGCACATGCCCATATCGGCAGGGAGCATAGCGTTCTGATCTGCTGGTGGCCGTTGCAGCCACGACTCGCGAGTCACGACGACGATGGCCATTGAATTCAGGCTCCACGCGACGCGATGTTCATTGGGTTGGTGGTGGTATTCTCTAGGAGGAATAGCCTGGCATCAGCCATGGCTGGCAAGGCGAGGAGAGGCGAGATGCTAGGTGCGTGTCCCTTCAAGTTTCCTCTCCGATAGTAGTAATCGGTTCAACAGGTTCGCACACGGTAGAACACGGTTCGTGCTCGCTGCCTCCTCGGACCGCAACGCACCAAACCAAACCGTACGTGAATTCAAATTTAACCCCGTTATAATCCAGCGGACTCGTTTGAAGAGCCCAAGCTGGGGCGCCTTCACCAAACTGCGGGTGTTGTCGGTGATAGTGGGCTTGGTTGTCTGATATGTCAGAACCAGCCCAAGAGAGGTGTGTCCTGCAGACAGAACGTCGCTGAGCAGTACAGTACGGTCCTCCTTTGTTTCAGAATCATGACTAGACTTTGATAGTGGAGGTAAAAACGATGGAGCGCTTAGATGGAGCGCTTGATGCATGAACACAAAACGTAGTCTAAACGATTGTTGTAAGCATTGATGTATATATCACTCGCCTCAGCATGCGCCTTGAGGGCCTTGGCATGGTGCTTGATGAGGTTGCCAAAAAAGATGCAATGAGGTTGCCAATGATGATGCAATGAGGTTGCCAATGATGATGCAATGAGGTTGCCAATGAGGATGCAATGAAGAAATACAAGTGGTTGTAGCCCCCTTGGAAGCACACGGTACAGCCTTAGCACTCTGCCAAAGCTTCGATCACGCCTTCAGAGCCTTGGCATGGTGCTTGATGTGGTCACCAATAAACGATGCAATGAAGAAGTACGAGTGATTGTAGCCTCCCTGGAAGCGCAGCCTCGGTGGCATCCCTGCCTCCGACCCTTCCAGATATATCTTCAAGCCTTTAGAGCCTTGGCGTGGTGCTTAATATGGTCACCAATAAACGAAGCAATGAAGAAGTAGGAGTGGTCGTAGCCTCCCTGGAAGCGCAGCGTCAGCGGCACGCCTGCCTCCGTGCACGCCTTTTGGAAATTCTCCGGCAGCAGCTGCTTCTCGTGGTAGAACTTGTCACTGTCGCCCTGCAGGGAGTGAACATGAAAAAAACAGAAGAGAATTCGAGGAGGGGGGATTGAGATCAATGGGGAAAGTGGTCGTTCACGATGCCTCCGTGCGAGCCTTTTGGAAGTTCTCCGGCAGCAGCTGCTTCTCGTGGTCGAACTTGTCGCTGTCGCCCTGCAGGGGTGAAACAACAAGAGAAGAGTTGAGGGGGTTGAGGGGAGAGACATTGAATTATGATGCTTCAGAACAGACCACACCACCTCCGGCAGCAGATGCTTCTCGTGGTCGAACTTGTCGCTGTCGCCCTGCAAACGTGGAAAAACGAAAGAGAAAAAGAAAGAAGAAAAGAAAGAAGAGATTGATGGATGAAGTGCTCTCTTACAGCAAGCCGCTCTGGAAATTCTCCCGGCAGCAGCTGACTTTTGAGTCGACTCAATAGTCTCTTACAGCAAGCCGCTCTGGAAATTCTCCCGGCAGCAGCTCCTTCTCGTGATGGAACTTGTAGGAAGTGAACCAACAAGAGATGTTTTTTAAGGGATTTAGGGGGTCTAGAAAAAAAAACCCCATGTCCTCCGGACAGCAGCTCCTTCTCGTGATGGAACTTGTCACTATCGCCTTGCAGGAAGTGAACCGACAAGAGATGTTTTTTCATGGGATTTAGGGGGTCTAGAATATAATCACACGCCCTCCGGACAGCAGCTGCTTCTCGTGATAGAACTTGCTACTGTCACCCTGCAACGGCAGTGAGGAGGTGGAAAGTGGGAGGGGGAGAGGGAGAGAGTGGGAGGAAGTTACGAATAGAGCCTTGAGCTTGCGGTTTTTTTTTTTTTTTTTTTTTTTTTTTTTAGGGGCCTCAAAAGGGACAGAGAGAGGAAGCTCAGATCTGAGCCTTAAAGCCTGAGGAGGCTATGTTACCTGGTCAACTTGGTCTATAAGAACTTGCGCATTAGAATGTTGGAACTGATTCACAGGTGCTGTGGCTTCCGGGTCTGACTGACTGCAGACACAACTTGATGTCTGGGCTCCGCAATTTCCTGGTCGACAAAGAATGTCTGCCTTGGACCCTGGGTGCTGCTTCGCGAGTGCTGTGGGGTCATACTCATGAGAGGCCTCGTTTCCAAGGAACAAACCTGAGGAGGACCTGAAGCTACGGATTGGGGGCTTTACATTCCATACCTGGTCGATAAGAACGCCTGCCTCGTGCCCTGGGTGCTGCTTCGCTTCGCGAGTGCTGTGCCGGTTCTACTTGCAGACTGTGTTGTGCCCAACCTGGTCTGTGTTGTGCACGTACTACAAGACTGTGTTTTGTACATGCCTACCTGGTCAATATTGATGCCTTTTGAGGCGCCTCAAAAGACGTACTACAAGACTGTGTTTTGTACGTGCCTACCTGGTCAATATTGATGCCTTTTGAGGCGCCTCAAAAGACGTACTACAAGACTGTGTTTTGTACGTGCCTACCTGGTCAATATTGATGCTGACCTTGGGCTCTGCGTTGCGCGGGTACTGGGACGGGCGCAACTAAAAGACTGGGTTATGAACTGAACGTTGATCGCGGGTTCTGTGCGTGGTCATGAACTGAACGTACCTGGTCGATGAGAATGTCAACCTTTGGCCCTGGGTACTGGTTCACGAGCGCTGTGGCGTCATACTCCTGAGAGGGGCAGGCGTGCAGGGGAAGGGATGAGGACGAGGAGGAGAGAGCTGAGATGCTGGACGAGGGAAGGGGGAGAGTGCCGAGTTGACAGGGAAGCCCTGTTGGTGCGACTTTTGAGAATTCTAAAAAGTCGCACCAATATAGTTGACAGGGAAGCCCTGGGTACTGCTTCACGAGCGCTGTGGCATCATACTCCTGAGAGGGCGGGGCAGGCGTGCAGGGGAAGGGGGGCGGATGAAGGGAGTGGAGAGGGGTGAGGGAGGGGGCCGAGAGCGAGTGCATGTGGAAGCCCTGGGTACTAATTCACTGCTTCACTGCTTCCCGAGCGACTTTTGAGGCGCCTTAAAAGGCATGTGGAAGCCCTGGGCACTGCTTCCCGAGCGCTGTGGCGTCATACTCCTGAGAGGGGTAGAGGGTGGATGGGGGGAGTCAATGAGGGGAGTCAATGAGGGGAGTCAATGAGGGGAGTCAATGAGGGGAGTCAATGAGGGGAGTCAATGAGGGGAGTCAATGAGGGGAGTCAATGAGGGGAGTCAATGAGGGGAGTCAATGAGGGGAGTCAATGAGGGGAGTCAATGAGGGGAGTCAATGAGGGGAGTCAATGAGGGGAGTCAATGAGGGGAGTCAATGAGGGGAGTCAATGAGGGGAGTCAATGAGGGGAGTCAATGAGGGGAGTCAATGAGGGGAGTCAATGAGGGGAGTCAATGAGGGGAGTCAATGAGGGGAGTCAATGAGGGGAGTCAATGAGGGGAGTCAATGAGGGGAGTCAATGAGGGGAGTCAATGAGGGGAGTCAATGAGGGGAGTCAATGAGGGGAGTCAATGAGGGGACGAGGGAGGGGAGTCAATGAGGGGAGTCAATGAGGGGAGTCAATGAGGGGAGTCAATGAGGGGAGTCAATGAGGGGAGTCAATGAGGGGAGTCAATGAGGGGAGTCAATGAGGGGAGTCAATGAGG